ACTCTAAGTAGATAAATATGATAATATCTTGTGGAAAGCTTGTTAAAAGCTTCATAGACACTGTTTTACCTTTACACATGGCTATAGGTGATTGGTAGGTTAAAAACTTGGCTAACAAGGAGGCCACGTGTGGACATGTTGACCACTTGTAGTAGAAGTTGGACATGTGTCCTACAAGTTGGATGGGTATTAAACGTCCTATAGCATGTTGCCATGTATTTTTTAGTTAAGTAGTATATATAGAGGCAAGAGTGAGGCCTTACTCACTCTTGTCAATTCCTTTCTTGCTTTTTAGTCTAGTTTCAAAAGTCTTATATTTTTTAGTCTTAGATAATAGCCATTTCAGTCCTTCTTTGAATATACGTAATTTCTTTTATTTTGTCACTTTCTTTTTGATACAGATTCTACAACTTTATGCACCTTCTTTTAATTTGTGTCCTTGACAAATTGTACTTTATCTTCCAAAATATATAATTGTCCTTAAAAGTAGAAAAAATTATTTTTGAATTTAAACTTGGAAGTATTATGAGACTTAGAAGAATTATTCTTAATATCATTAATAAGAAGGTCAGAAGACATACTTGATTGAATTTGCTTAATAAAGGTTGAATCAATAATAAATGTTGATTTTATTACTCAAAAATGAAAATAATTTGGCTTCAAAAGAATCATTCTTTGTTGATCAAAAGATGCATCTCTTTCTTTTGGTATAAGAGAAGAATATCTAGAAAGGATATCTAATAAACCTTATTATTTTTTTGGATCTATATATAATCTTAAAATTAAATCTTGATAAAGTCATATTCCAATAAACTTGGCAATAATTTGAAACATGTACGAACATGAAGTATTTGAGGTTCTTATGATCTATATACATAATAATTGGACTAGAAGTACCTTCTAAATAATGACGCCATTCTTAAAATGAATCCATAATTACAAATAGCTCTTTATTATGGATTTCGTAGTTAATCTTGGTTATTAAAAATTTCTTGGAATAAAAAGCTATGTGATGGAATTTATCATCTACTTCTATTTTTAATAAAATACATCTATAGCAAAAATTGATGTATTTGTTTTTATAAAGAATGCCTTAAAAATATTGATGCAATATAAAATTGGTGCAGAAATAAATGATATCTTCAAGGCTTCAAAAGATGTTTTAGTTTCTTTGTTTTACTCAAGTTTGTCTTTACATATTAGATATTAAAGAAAAGTCACAATTTAAAATAAATAAATAAATAAATAATAAAGATTCAATGATAATTGCAAATCTCAAAAAACATTGCACATCTTTGATAGTTTTTGAGACCTTCCAATCCATGATAGTCTAGACCTTATTAGGATCCATCATTAATCTTTTGTTAGAAATGATGTATCCTAAGAAAATAACTGGAATAGAGTAGAATATGTACTTTTCTATCTTGTCAATGTATTCTTTTAATACAACCAATTCATTTTGCGATAAGTTGTAGATCAATTTGAATAGTGGTTGAGCTCTTTCTTATAGATCAATTGAACAATCATAAGATCAATGCTTTTAAAGAATATTTGCATTCTTCTTTTCAAAAAAATCTTAAAAATCTTGATAATAGCTAGGAATATTACTTAATATGTTTATACCATCAAAAATAGATGTGGCATATATAACAAAAGATGACTCTTCTTTTGCTTCCTGCATGAAAGATTTTGTACCTACTAATAAGGATTTGGATGTACTAGACTTATTTATTTTTACTTCACTATCAAAATTTTGGATTAAACTATAAGAAAAGATAAGGTTACAAGAAATCTAATCTATCTAATGGTTATATTTTTTTTAACCACAATAAATCTAAAATAATTAGATTAGAGGGAGATCTTATCACATTAAATATTTCTATACTATTATGATCTTTAATTACTACATTTAAAGGAACAGTCTCATGAGTAACATCTCCGGAAGACAACAAATGACTATCTATGACTTCTACATGTATGGATGTAGGTTTCTTGACTTAAGATATTTCTTGTTTCTTGACAATGTTTTTGTCTATAAAAGAGGCTAAGGCTCTTGAATCTAATAATGCAAAGATTTTGTAATTTCTAGGTCCTAAATATACATTGATTGTAAAAAAAGTGAAAGATTTTATGAAAAAATAGGACCTTTATTAGGTGTTGCATATGATTATAGCTCCACAATCTCTATATCAAAAAACAAAGCTAGAGAGACTTGTTTTTTGATATATTGTCTTCTTTGGCAATCATGCTCCTTATTTTGTGAATGTGTTGCTTCTTTTGATAATATTAAGCAGTGTGCTTAGCTTCTCTATAATATAAACACAAACCTTCTTGACAATGTCAAGTCTTTTCTTCCTCTTTAAGGAAAAAAATGGTGTTAGAAAATAAAATAGTTTTTAAAGGTGGATAATTTTCAACCTTCAAAATATAACAATAGAAGTGGGATAATCCACTCACTTCTAAAACAAGACAAGAACAATAAGTTAGGACTCCTGTCAAACTATCAAGGACATAAAACTTGAAGAAAGAAATTGTCAATACTCTCTTATTTCATTCAAAAAGACTAAGAAATCACTCAAAGATGATAATATATTGAATTAGAATGGCTATTGCTAAAGATAAGAAGATTAGAAAGTCTTGAAATAAGATTAAAGACTAAAAAGACATTGATAAGAGTGAAGAAGGCTTCACTCTTGCCTCTATATATAAACTTAACTAAGCACTATGTAACAATATCCTATAAGACCTCCAAAATGTGTAAACTTTGCAAAACACATATCTTAACTTGCAAGGCAAGTTTTCTATATGTGTGCTACATAATTAGTTTGTTTTACAAGCTGCCAATAGATAGTTAATTTCTTGACTAAGTTTCTAATCTACTAATCAACTACAAATACATGTTAAGTCAAAGTAGCATCTATGAAGCTTCTAAGAAGTTATTCTAAAAAATATTATGAAATAAATCTACTTTTATTTATTTCTACTTAATCATATAGATGAATATTAGAATAAGTATGTATGTCCGTTATAAGTTTCCATACATGGCTAATGTAAAAAAGATCCAATTTATTTGAGCCATGTCCATTGGCAATTAAAGCAATGATAATCCTTGTCTTATCTCATTTTATGCCTGCAATCTAGAGAGCAAAAATTATTTTATCAAGTGAAAGGTAATAAAACAATCCAATTTCATTCATATTGTAAATATTTTTTAAGGCATATTTTTTAATCTTTGCTTTCAACTCTAGAAACAATACCTTAATTGCAGCTGTATTTGTAGAAGTAGCTTCACCATACAATTTAAGTATTTGGAATCCATGTTGTTGCTTGAACTTTTGCACCTAGTCATTGGAGAATGTTGGAAGATTTGTAATGCTTAGAAGAATTGCAAACTTACTCCCTTTCTCTTGTATTAGCCCATTAGTGAGTATAATATCCCAATGTTTTGGCAATGGAATATCTAATTAATCAATATTTTATCGAACCATAGATGTATTAGAAATCATTGACATTTTGCAGAAAGTACACACAAGTCAAGACTCTCATATTCCTTGCACTTATTAAAGATTCAGCCAATAGTGCTCTGCAATGGAGATTTTTGGAAATTGAAATGATTTCTTGTCCATGTTGCAAGATCCTTCTGATTCATTAATGACTTAGCTCTCATTTTTTGGCAAACTTCGACCCTTTGAGCATTGATTAGTATTTTGACATGTTGAATAGAGTATGATAATAAAAGAGAACAAAAAAAAGAAAGAGAAAGAAAGATAAAAAATAAAGTAAAAGTAAGATTAGAAAGAGAGAGAGACAAAGAAAAATGGAAGAAGAGAGAAAGATAGAGAGACAAAGAGACAGAGAGCAAAAGAGATAGAAAGATGGAAAGTGAAAAAGATAGAGAAATGGAAATTGAGAGAGAGAGATGAAGAAAGCAAGACTAAAGAAAGAAAGTCTAATGTACAATTAGATATTAAATATTATAAATATTAAATATCTAATATTATATATAATAATTATATATTATATATAGTAAATTATATTATATTATAGATATATATAAAAATATATATATATACATATTAGCAATCAAATATTATATTTAGTAGAATAGCCAAAGTACCCGTCTTCTTATAAATAGATGGCTAATCAAAAAACTTACACATGTCAATCAATCACAACTTATCTCTTTGTAACTCAATATCCTCCAATATTTGATATAATTGACAATCCACTGACTGTATTGGATAACGGAGGATCAATTTTAGTAGGATCAATTTATATATATATATATATATATATACATATATACATACATATATATATATATATATATATATATATAATTGACTTATAATCTAGGATAGAACTTATAGAAGGCTATAACTTAGTAGAGAATAACTAGCACTATAGAATCACATCAATTCTACCATTTTTTCATAATTTAAAGAAATTATATAACTTAGTAGAAAATGACATTAAAAATTTATAAAAACATTTGAATTCTAAAGACAATTATGTTAATTGAACATTTTTAAATTTTTAAAAAAATTTCCATTAAATGCAAATTTCATTTTATTAGTTCATAGTTACTGATTTATCTAATATTTTAAAATATCATCGAACCACGTGGTGAAAAACCTTGCAAACCGTTATTTCAAACTCACTGATTTGGAACACATGCCCATTTTCCTCGCACTTCATATTTTAATACGTAGAATTAAACTGAAACCAGCCGAGAATAATGACCACCCAGTTGGAGTAAGACAATTCCTTAAAGAAATGGCTCCTCCACCAGGGTCTGCATGCTACACCGCATGAACTTATCACCGTTGCTCTCTCTAAATATCCTGCATCTTCATCAAACACAATCATGTACGGAATTCTACATGCAGGATTATCAAAGCAAAAAAACACACATACACACATTACTTCTCTACGCAACAAAAACACGGATCATGCATGAAGACTAAAAGAAATGAACAGTCATAAATATAGGACAGATAGACGAAGATCAACAAGATAAAGCCAGTTTTATCATTTTGTTGCAAAGAGGATCCAAAACCTGAGACTGTCGGCATTGAGGAACTCTAGCAAATGGGTCAAGTCTAACTGTGACTATATTCAGTGAAATGTGCAAGAATTTTGCACATAAACTCAGTGTTGGGCTACTGGCCAAAAAACACGAGTCCTAGTTGGAGAGACTTGCCAAACGAGATGTTTTGGTACCAGTGAGTCTCTCTGAGCTTCAAATGGAATAAGACCATAAAACAAAACTGTCAAAAATGTGATCATACTGATCCCTCGCCTGCAGCTTTGTTCAAAAACATTGAGCAAACTTGAACGGCCTCCCCAACTGTGAAAAATATCCACTCTGATCCGAGCTCTTCCAAAAGCCCGGAACTGTCGAACTTTTGGATGACTTGGGATCCTGGGTTTGCAAACGCCAACTGCGAACGATCCATTTGAAAACCATTTCAGATTACCAGCTCAAAAGAAAGCACCCATGCAATCTGAAAATTGGAAATGCAAAAATGGTGGAGGGATGGAAGAACTACTACCTGAATCTTTCGTTTCTTCAAAATTCTCTGAAGCTCCTCCATGGCAATGATTCCACTTGTGTCAATGTTTGTCACAGCTGCACATCACAAGCGAGATCCTCTCATTAATCAAAAGCATTCATGTAATGGGATCGCAATCGATGAAATAAGCTGTGGTATAGGGTTTGGGGGTTTGAGGTTTAAGATCGTGTCACGGAATTCCACATCAAACAGCATTAAGGCCGATCAACTTACGGGTCAAGTCTATGATGAGGTACTGGATTGGAGTGCTCCCGGGCTTAGCCATCTCATCCTCGACGTATCGGAGGGCTTTGTCATGAATGTATTGCGAGTTAGAGAAGTAAATGGCAGCGTCGACCCGAACTGCAACAATCCCAGGTGCGACAGTGGCTTTTGGGTATTGCTGTAAGTTTCGGTAGACGTTCGTCCCAGGGATGTTCCCTAAGAGAGCTGTATGGGGTCGAGTGACGTTGAAAAGAATTTTGACGAACGAGATGCAGACCGCGATGAGAAGCCCGATCTCCACAGACACGAAGAAGACACCGAAGAAAGCTCCCAGAGTAGCAAGGAAGTCGAACTTGTCAATCTTCCAAATGATCCATGCGGCTTTGAAGTCGATCAGGGACAGGACTGCAGAGATGATAATTGCAGAGAGGATGGTATTGGGCGTGTATTTAAACAAAGGGGTGAGAAACAGGAGCGTGATGAGCACCGTAATGGCCATAACCACATTAGCCATGGCTGTCTTCACTCCCGCCTGGTAATTCACGGCTGACCTTGAGAATGACCCTAGAATCATAAAAAAGAGGCGAAAATTAGTTACCAGTTGGCTGGAAACAACACAGTGGCGATGTTGAAATCTTCCTATAAATCTCGTCTATGCCAAGCGTCATTAATTATCTGCTACTGTTGACACAGTATGCTAATGTTTTCTTAAGAACTGATTCATGAGAGCAAATGGGAGTCAGTACCTGTTGCGCAATAGCATGAAGTGAGGGATCCACAAATGTTCATGATACCAAAGGCGATCATCTCCTTGTTCCCATCGATATGGTAGTCCCGTAACGCTGCAAATGTTCGCCCAATTGCAACGCCCTCGGTGAGTGCAATAAGCGATGTAACCAAGCCAATTTTAGCTGCTGCTCCCACATACTTTCCAGTGAAAAGTAATTGGTCTGCTGACGATGGGTTCACTCCTTGCTTGATATGCCCAACCTACGAATCAAGATGCAGATGGGTATCAGAACGTTAAATTCGCAAATCAACCGATCTCTGCGCCCACCCTGCAAAGTTCATGGTCATTCAAGTAATTGTTGCATTTAACAATTCACGAGATCATCATGGTTTAAGGTTTCAGACGAGATTTTACTCACAACTTTGACCCCGCGCTTGTCTGCCCTGAAGACGAACACGAACACTGTCGCAAGGATCACGGAAGTAAGTGGTGCAATTGCTGACACCCAAAAGAGCTTGGGCTTCTTCTTGGCCTGTGCATTCAATTAGGGTTGTTGAACAAGAAATCGTCCAGGAAGATATGAACTAATTGAAAATTTAAGTTATCATGAACGACGAGCTGCAAACTCCCCAACAAAGTACTATGTATTTATATATATATATATATATATATATATATACACATACAACTAAAGAAGTTTTGAAAGGAATCAGTCCTTACCAAAACTTTAGCAGCCACGAGAAATGACAAGAAGGCAAGCCCAATTACAATAGATCGCCAGTTCCACTGCACGTGCAGGTTCAAGATTTCCGTTAGTTAATAAGACGCACTGCAGGCATGGGTGCATGAGCCATGTCTTGAATCCATGAAATATGTAAAATTGTAATAGACTGTAACCTGACATTTTCGAGCTTTAACTTGACCATCCATGAATTTAAAACATTGCGCACACCCTAATTTTGTTGAAATCTATCATGCGTTTGCGTGTCGAGGCTCGCTAAATTTATAGAGGACGAGAGAGATGCAGTCATTGTTGTTACGTACTTCGTCGATGTGCCCAAACACTGATTTCATGACCGAGACGAAGTCAGTGTCGGTGGTGAAATTTGTTATGTTCAGTAATCCTTTGAGTTGTTGCAAGGCGATGGTGACAGCTGCGCCGGCCATGAAGCCCACAATCGCCGCATGGGAGAGAAACTGAATTACAAAGCCCAGGCTGCAATACAATTGACAGCCCGATTGAGGAGAAGGATTTAGCTCACAGCAAGGTTAAATTTCTGTATTCAGCGATCGATGAAAAATCCTGAAAATTAGATGAGATTGGTGATGGTGAAGTGATTGAGTCATACCGCAAGATTCCCAAGCCAGTCTGGAAGATGCCCGCGAAGAAAGTCGCCGTGAATGCGAGCTGCAAGTAAAGCGCGGGTTGCTCCGTGGGGGATATTTCTTGCTTCAGCAAAGTTCCCATAAGAAGCGACACCACCGCAACGGGCCCAATCGCTATGTCTCTTGAGCTCCCTAGCACGGAGTAAATTAGCGGTGGCACAAAACTTGAATCTGACACACATAACCATCCTCAGAACTTCGCAAAAATTGGATGATTTTAACCAAGAGTCCAATTTCACCAGCTAATGAGATACTGCAAGTGTTTGCAGCTATATCATTACTTACACAGTCCATTGACAGGCGGCACTCCAGCGAGCTTCGAATAACCAAGATCCTGCAATCAACGATGACTTCCGTGAAAACGTGGTACTCCTGTAGTGGAAGACAGCAGCTTTGTTACGAAATTGTACGAATAAGTTAATGCCAGGGCATTTAAGGAAATTGGTTAGGAAAGAGAGGTGCCTGAGGGATGGCGAGGCTGGCGATGGTGATGCCTGCAATGAGATCACCCACAAACATTCTGGATTTATACGAAGTGATCCATTCAAGCATTGGGAAGAGAAATTTGAGTCCCAGCCAGCTCTTAATGCGCTTGCTCTGACCTCGGAATCGATCAACGGGTGCGTCGTAAAAGAACGTCTCCCAGATTCCCTGACCCACTTCCTTAAAGATGCCGCCTGGCGGTGGCACCAACACTTTGTGCACCAGTGGCACCTCCTCCACCAACTGCCCATTCGGAGCTGCAGTCCCACCTCCTTCTCTGTCATGAAGCGCCATCGCGAGCGATCCTACAATCTACCTGAACCCAAGTCCAACACACACACAACCGCCGCTCGTCAATCAAGAGGCTCTCCAACCCAGCATTGATTCCAAATCCAAATCAGTAATCACACACTGTGAGTTGCTTCTCATTGCTATCGCTTTCGGAAAGTCCACGTCCGTCCCTCTTCCATTTCCTGGACTGCCAAGAAAATGAGACTCCGACCTCGATGAAAGCCATGTGAACACGTCCAAACACACCCAATCGTAGTAATCACTCTGCCAATTCCAAACATGATTCTAAATATACTTCCCAGAAGAAATTCAATGAGGTAGGACCCAGACTGACATGATCTCCAACTTTGAGTATTCTACTGCACGTAAGGCGATAAGGAGAGAAGAAGAACAGACTAAACTCTGGGCTCACTTTCCGTGACAGTTGTGATGTCTAGCTCTGTCGAAGCACCTAACGAATGCCAAGCGGCTACGAAGTCCACTGAAAAAGGAATGAACCTCGCACACGAAGTCTCTACAACTGCAAAGGAGCCATCTCGTTGATAAACCAAAACCAAAAATAAATAAAACAACGTAATTTATTCTATTATCGAGTTTCACTGCAATCGATCGCAGTAAGGAATTGAGTCTACTTTGAAATCTATTGAGAGTTGATAGCAGTAATATATTGCCGGTGCATAGAAACACCACCAGTCCATCACTGAGTCGGTCTCAACACCGATACACTACTTCCAACAAGAAAAGCCGCGCTGCAGCGGGATTTATCACAGTACCAGGGTAATCATTCAATACAAGCAAGCAACATTACCGAAACCTACGCAGCGAGGAGTTCACAGTAAGCTTTGACCACACATGCCTCCACTTGGTTCCAGCACACTTCTACAATCTGCTACAACAGACGATCTCTCTTCCAGTATCTAACAGCTCCCGAGCAGCGTACAACAGAGACCAAGCAAGTAGAATCCAACACAGCAGAACTGGGCATGGATCCCAGTCATAAGTAATCAAGCTGTACGTGCTCCACAGAGACAACGAATTAGTGCACCCAAAGATTCTTCTACAAGAGTACGTGATCTTGTGGCAGAAGATTCGCATCTGTGGTGAGCTTCGTCCGCAGCTGGTGAGGATGCTCCATTTACAGACTTAGAGTTTATCCGGACCCAGATTATTTTTGTCCAGCGCAGATGGAATCGGTCTGCACTCGAAACTCTAAAAAGGGATTCCAGGACAGCTCTCAACAGTGTCATTGTCTTTGTTGACTTCAACTGTGTCCGCATATCGATGGGGAGTAACTCTGGTCCAATACTACAAGTCGATGACAGTAGAGAGGAGGTACAGTGGGGGAGGAGGATGTGTAGTGAATGTGGAGTCAGTTGGAGTTTTCCATGTAGAAATGTGTTGGTGGAAAGTTCTATCCCCTTTAACAATGGAGCTGTCTTCCCTTCATTCCTCACAACGTGTTGAAATGATAAGTTGATTTTGTGTTTAAGGATTGTACCAACAGAAGAAAAGTACACTATTGTAACTTTAGGGTCACTTCACACTATGGCTTTTTGGTTAGGTGGACCTTGGACAACTCCACTTGAAATTGGGCAAAAATGCCATTGTTAAAAATATTAAAACATACTAAATATGATTTTTGGCTTGTTCACTTAATTTAGAATTATATGGTTCAATTTTCTTCACTTTTTATTGAGTGAAAAAAAATTAAGTAGAACAAACCATATCATAGTTTTTTTTTTCTCTATGTTACTTGTTTGTAATCTTTGTGTGAAATTTTTGTTGTGTGCACATAGTGAGTGTAGTTTAAATAAGCAAGTTGTCAATCTTGCAAACCTAAACAACATCTTACTTGCACAAGTAGTTTATTCTTGTTTGTAGAACCTTATAATAAAAATTACAAATAACAAAGTTACATTTAAATATAAAATTATTTAACAAAAAATTATATTTTATAATTATTGATTCTTTAAAAATAAATACAGGTAAAAAAATTATGTATATATATATATATATATATATATATATTAAACCAGAATTAATATATACAAAAAAAACTCCATAAGAATGTAAGGTGTAACCATGTATCAAATAAAACAAAATTTTACTCTTTTTGCATTGAAAAGCATGCAGTATACGTTAGAGTGACAAAGTTCCTTGCTTCAGAGCTACTTCCATGTGCTTTCGCCTGAGAATGACACCCAACTCTTCTTTATAGTCATAAAGCTTAACATTCCTGAATATTCTGTTACTTTATGAATGCAAAATGGCTACTGCTAGGCCACGAACAATGCTCAACACCCACTTCTCACTAAGAAACTATGCTGAGTTGATCCTTTCCCAACGATCATTACATTTCTTTTTTATTTTGGAGAAGTTTTTCTGTTTTCTGGATTTTGATTTAACAGGTGGATTCATTTTCATAAAATTTAACGTTTCACTAAGTCTTGGATTGATATCTATTTTTAGTATTTAAAATATCACTACATTAAATAATTAAATAATTCTCAAAACCCAGCTGCGAATCAGGTTGTGAACTGGTGGTTTTAAGAAAAGGGTTCCCACACAAAAGTTGCAATTTGATTCCTACTAATGTAGTTTGATTTGTGATTAATTTTTTTTTATTCAATTAGATTTTCACACTTGAATAGCATTATGAACATTGACTCAAATTATAAACTGAGCTCAATTTCCTAAAACTGTCACTTGTAACAAGACTAGAACTCCCAACCCACAACTGGCAGCAAGTTAAAATTTGGCATATTCTCCTTCACCGCCACTCAGACCCAAACTATTACCGAGTAAGTCGTCCAACATGATGTTTCTAAGGCGAGTTCCGAAGCAGCCCTCGTGCCATCGCTCGGTGGACGCAAAGCTTTTCTTGCTTTAATGCTGAAGACATTTCTTCGGGGTTTACGTGACGCTCTATTGTCCATTCTGTGTCGGTTGGGCGCTTCTCCTTCACCACTCGCTGGCTCCGTCAATGGCCACCACTTCCGTGGTCGCGACTGGTCGCTTAGCTTCACCAAAACAGTCACCACAATCCCATGATATGTGCTTCCGATGGGGCCGGAATTACGTCCTGGTTCGGTTCATCTGAAGTGAAAAAAAAGACGACACCGAGGTGCATTTGCATTACCTCTTTTGAGCTCCTGGAACCCTAAAAGTGGCATTTTTTGTTGATTTCGTTGACGTGCGACTGAGACGGGCCCAGAGGCACTAGTTCCCGAGTATTGGGTACTTTCTGTCACTGACCTTTTTTGATGAAAAAGTTATCGAAACGTTCATTCTCTCATCCACTTTTACTTTTATCGTTCATCCAAGGTGGGCCCAAATTTGGTGATTAATGTTTTTTTATTTTTATTTTTTTATGTTTTCTCTTTGTGGTAAAGTTCCTCTATTTCTGTTCTTGTATGGTTTGTCATATTGTTTCTCTATCTCTTTAGTTAAGCCATCCAACTTGGTAAAAAAATGTTTTATTTTTACAAGCCAATAATTTTTATTCTTATTTTATTTTTATTTTTTTTATATTATAGTGACTAAAATATTTGAATACCTCATTAACAAGAATGGCTTGTAGTCACAAGAAACTATGCCGTTTTTCTTCTATATTAAAAAAATACAGAGTGTTATGTAAAAAATACATCTAACTTCATATTTGTGTTTTTTTTTATTAAAGTATCCAAAAAAAATACATTATAAATGGTGGATTTTTGCATACTAAGACATATCTTTGTGAATATTAACAATTCTTGTGATGTGCTCAATTTTTTAGATTTTGGTATATGCATAAAGACCAAAAAAGTTAGAGTCAATTAAAATTACATTGTTACCTTTGACTTTAAATACAATCCAAATAGGATATTAGAGTATATATATATATATATATATATATTTCACTTGGTACATTTTAGAAAATTAAAATTAAAATTATCAAACTATCTTGTTGAATTTTTTTTAAATAAGATCTAAGCATTACTATCTTAATTTTAAAAATTATACATCCACTTTATTTCTTCATAATCATATAAATGATCTTACTTTTAGTTGTATATATTATTTTTTTTAATATTAAGCTAATGCCAATTTATTTTTTTATATTAAAAAAGACTACTAATTACTAAAACTTTTGCATCATACTACAAAATATGTGTCTGATTTTGTTTTATTTTATTAATATATTTTTAAATAAGTGTAATAAATATATTTAAAAAATTTTAAAAATTATGGTAATCTTTTTTTAACTGTTTCATCCTTGGAAATTTTAGAGATTTGTAATAAATATTTATGTAAGATTAAGGATCTATTTGTCTTACATACATGGTTGCATGTATAAGACCTTTTTATATAAGAGTTGTTTTTATGTTCATATCACTTACTTAAAAGACTTTTTGTTATCATGAATTTGGATAAAATTTTCTCTAAAGTTTAATAAGATTAAACTTATTAAGATTTTCTTCTATGCTCCTATTTAAGCAATTTTTTCATTTGTTCATTTAAGAAAAGTTATCAAATTAATAGATTTTTAAGAGAAGCCTAGCTTTATCTTTAAAGCTTATCTTTAAGTAAAAATAGTAAATTTTATTATTTTAAAAATACCTTATAAAATTAATTTTAAAAAAGAAATTATTATAAAAAGAAATTTAAAGTAATCAATTATTTTATTAACAAAAAGAAATTATATAAGATTTAATTCAAGAAAAAAAATGTTATGGAATTTAAATTAATAATTATAAATAAGAGTGCTTAAATCTTTTTTTGTAAAGTACTTCTTAATATTTCTAAAATATTATTTAATAGAATGAATGGCTTTTAATTATCTAACTTATTCAAATAATTACTTTATAAAAAACAACTATGTTTTTTTAACTTAATAATAATAATAATTTTTTATATTTATTTAAAAAATATCTAATAAACCTATATTGATTGCTTGTTAGTAAGTTTTATAGAATTAATTATAATATTTTATAGTTAAAAAAATATCATATATATATATATCCCTTAAATATACTGAAATATCAAGAATATTCTTATATTCTTCATAGTAGCAAATCTACTTCTCGCTTATGTGATAATATCAAATCCACTCTCAAATATGATGAGGTATTACCACTCTTTGTTTTTTTAGGTGCATTTGGAGCTCAAACAACATGCTCTGCTGATTTTGGCATGGCTCTTTTTGGCCCAAGAATAGTTTCATGTGTTGACATATTGACCTACACAACATGTGATAGTATAAAAATTGCTTTTGGTCTAAAGTATCAGGTGCTTGCTGGAAGATAAGATAGAAAGATCTCCAAGGCCTCAAAGGCATTGCAATTCTTACGAGGGTCCTAGTTTAATGTCTTCCAACTTGTAGCAAACTTAATATTAAAGAGAGGTGTGTTAGTTTTGGACTAAGTGTTGTTCACTGATACATCAATGTGCCTTCTAGTTCGGAAGAATCACAACCAAGAGATTTTTCTTTGTAGCCTTTATGAATGCCATAATTAAGATGGACAACATTAGAGTCTTTGAGGATAACAGAGACAAAATTTGCAATTTTTTAGATTTATAAACAAATAGGTTGATTAAAAAGTTATTTTTTTACTTTTATTTTTGTTAGAATGTATAATATTGATCAATCATTGAAGATTTATTGCAATCAAGCGTAATTTAACTCACAATGTCTAAATTTACTCTTTATGCTGTTATAAAAATTTGAAAGATTGCACAATTGCTTGCTTGTGGTTAGTAGATATGAATAATAAAATTGAATAATTTGAATGATATTAAGATATTAAAAATCATATTTAGGAGATATAATAAACAAGACCATGCCAAAATTTGCACAATACGCAATTTAGGCCCCAAATGCACCTAAGAAAGGAAGAGTGGTGATACCTTATTATATTTGAGATTAAATTTGCTATTATCAAGAATACGAAGATATTCTTAATATTTCAGCATATTTGAGGGACATATATCATATTTTCTCTTATAATTTTAATATTTTAATAAAAAACTATTCTTTGAATATTTTTCTAATATTTATTTTAATTCATTTCATTTTTATATTTATT